CATCGTGTATAGACCGATAAATGCATTGCATACTGTAAAATCTTTAAAATTGTGTCAGATAAATTATACTGAATTTTTATATTATGTTCAGAAAATCGGTTTATAATTTTTGAAAAATTAATTTTGCAAAAAAAAATGGTAATACTGTATGTAGAATGCAGTTTTGATTTTTCTGATCTAGAGCTTGGACCTGTGAACCCCTTATCCGGATATCCGTACGGTTAACCGTTATCAATGTCTCACTTATGACTTACAGTACTGATTGTATTTGATTTGCTTGTTAATGAAGCCGTTATGAAATCGGTTTATAATATAACAGATAATAAAACATGATATAATTAAATCATATAATTATTTGATTGGTCCATTGCATCCTTGTCCCCGAAATTCCAGGTCGGGATGCATTGGCGTTAGATTAGGGTTAGCTATACTGGTTAGCAGGAGCTATAGTAAAATAACAGCTGGGCGCTTTTTAACGACTATGATTTCATTAGTAAAATTGGTTCCAATGCATTCCAATTTGGCATGAGTTTTTTATAAGGTGAAGTCGAGTACAGGGCCGATGATTTACTGCGATCACAGAAAACAGCAGAATTTTTTTTAAAAACAGCTAAACACAAAATCACCTTTAGTCACCACAGAATACCACAAAATTCTAAAAAGTAGCGCAGAATATCAGAATTCTAAAATATTGCAGTATTGGACCATAAATTCAGGAAATTCAGAAATGTAGGCAACACAAATCAATGTAAATTACAAACACGTTTGTTGGGAAGTTGCAGAATTTTTGCGCATTTTATATTTTTAACCACATTAAATCACAACATCAACACTAAAATTGAGTAATCGAATGGTGCACAAAATTATTCAATTCCTTCAAAAGTTGAGAAAAACGATGTGATCTAAAAATATAGCAGTTCCAGACTTTATTGCTTAATTAATAACGTTAGCGATATTGATCTTAATAATTTTGGGGTAAAAAAAATCAATCATTTGATAATTAACAAATTCAAAAATTTGATAATATGCAAATTAATTTCTATTTATTTGTATGTAAAATATCCAGTTCTTGAACTCCAGGTATAAAAAAAAAAAATATCGTGCTATCCGGATGCCGTATCAGATAAAAATACGGATAAAAGATCAAAATCATTCGAATCCAGCCACTAAATTTAAATCAATTTCATTTGCTCCAAGGAAAATCTTCTATTATTCAATCATAATACGACATTTTGAATTTTTCGACTTAAGAGATATCAAAGTTACACCATTATTAATCATAACTTTAGCCTTACAATCTTCATCGATTCTATTAAAAAAATATGATTGTGGTGAATCATAAAATGTTCTGCTAATTATCATTATTCTTCAATATTTTATTACCTGTTTGGTAAAGTTACTTTAACCTCAAGTCGATTCGGAAGATTATTAATAAAGACAAACCCTGATATACTAATAGTTTGAAGCCTAGCCATTATAGTGATTTCATGATTGCCACTATGAATAATTTCAATATCTTTTTTGGATGTTATTGACGGAGTGAAAACAATGATATTCATATATCCATTTCGGATATCGTTGTAAATAGCAAAAGGCGCATAGCCTTGTTCTGAATTAATATCATACGGTGCTTTAGATTGGGTTTCTAAAAATAAATAAATTAGCTAGCTTAAAAAAAATATTCATTACATATTTCTGTATTTTCAAAGTTTACCATTCACATTTCGAGTATTATTGTAAATGTCAAAAGGCGCAGATTCGTCTTGTTCAGGGGTAGAGCCGATACTGATGCAATCCAAACCAATATTACACGGTGCTTCAAATTGGGTTTCTAAAAATAAATAAATTAGTTAGCTTAAAAAAAAAATTCATCCATATATTTCTGTATTTTTCAAAGTTTACCATTCACAGAGATGTCCTGTACGGGGGTAGAGCCGATACTGATACAACGGTTTTGTTCTGGATTAATATTACGTGGTGCTACAAATTGGTTTTTTAAAAATAAATAAATTAGCTAGCTTAAAAAAAATTCATCCACATATTTTTCAAAGTTCTACCATTTTGGTTATTTTCTGAAGCTGCTACTACAGGTTGATCATCTCCTACGGTAGTCCTTTGTCTTTTATTTAAGGGTGTCTGAAATTTATAATAATAAGATATGAAAAAACATTAACAATAAAAAATTATTTAGTAAAAAAAGGTTCTACCACAAAATCCCGACATCCAAAATCTCGAAACCATAATCTCGACATGACGATTAAGATTTAAAGATTAGTAATCACGTTAACAATCATTGTAAGCTTTAAATTTTTAATTGTCATATCGCGTGATGTCAGTATTATGGCCTGTCGAGATTTTGGACATCGGGATTTTGCGGTAGAACCGTAAAAAAAATACTTACATCTGAATAAACAACTTTAGTTTCCGTTCCAAAATAAAACGTTTCGCTAATTCTAACTACGAATTTTCCTTTTTTTTCAATAAAACAATCCATGACACCCTTATATGTTTGAAAAAACGCGCTAGCGTCGAAGTGTGAATTAAAATGTATAAAGGCAAACCTATAAACAAACAAACAAATAATTAGTAATAATTAAATTCATAATAACAAGTTCAAAGATATTTACCCTTCATGAACTTTTTTTACAAAATGGGTAAATGGAATATTCGTTTCTGTTTTTAACCACTTTTCAAGCTCGCTATCAGTTAGTTCATGAATTGGGCCACTGCACATAACCGCGTATTCGGGCCTTCCACATCCATTGCATCGCTTTTTGTTTTTTCCTAAAAAGAAATGAAAAATAATAATAAAATTGAATTTAAAATAAATCAAATAGTGCATTAATATCTTAATAGAACTGCTTTCAAATCCTTAGTGAATCAGTTTTGCAAAAAAAAAAAAAATACTCAGTAGGAAGAAAGAAAATAACACAACAATCTACTTATTGTTCTAGGAATTCATATCATGAAAACAAAAAAAAACATCTTACAAGAGAAAGATTACACCTTTTTGCAAAAACCTTGACTATTATAAAATACTATGCATAATCGACTCCTTCTTCAGAATCAATAGGTTTTACAAACAAGAATTTTTGCCCCAAAAAGAAAGTGTAACATCTCTTGAAAGAAGGTAACAATCTACAAGGGAAAGGTAACATCTCACGAAGGTAACATCTCGCGAAGAGAAGGTAAACATCTCGCGAAGAGAAGGTAAATATCTCGCGAAGAGAAGGTAAACATCTCGCGAAGAGAAGGTAAACATCTCGCGAAGAAAAGGTAAACATCTTATGAAAAGAAGATAACATCTCACGAAGAGAAGGTAACATCTCACGAAGAGAAGGTAACATCTTACAAAGAGAAGACAACACTCTCACTTGCAAAAATCTTGACTATTATAAGATACTGTGCATAATCGACTCCTTCTTTAGAATCAATAGGTCTTATAAACAAGAATCAGAAGAAAAAAGTGGAACATCTCTTGAAAGAAGGTGACAATCCACAAGGAAAAGGTAATATCTCACAAAAAGAAGGTAGCATCTTGTGAAGAGAGAGTAACAAAAAGGTATAAAACTTGATTAGAATACCTTTGGGCTCTGTTAATTCTTTTGTTTTGGACGCCATTATCAGAAATCGCGTTTAAACAGGTAGTTAGTAAAGTAGTACAGTACGGTAGTACAAATTTGTACGTACGGACGTAAATTGGGCGAGATTTTGATAGT